GACGTTTGGTGGGACATCAATGGAGAGAGCAGTGCTAGTAGAACCAGAATGGGATCTGGTTCTCGCTGGCTCCAGAGTCCACGCTCTTGTCTCCAAATTAGATACCTGTTGAAACCAAGAGGAGAAACAGTCACAGGAAGGGTCAGACAGGAGCCGATGCTGCAAAGCTCAAGGACTGTCAAGATGGAGCTCCTTGGCTAGTAGATCTTAATGACTTCCAGTCGGAGGTGGCCCACTGGAAACCTGGGGGCAGGTTGCAGGAGCCAGAGAGGATGACGTGGAAGCCGTAGTCAGCGCACACGGACCCCTCTTTCTGTAGGTTCAGCCGGGAAGACGAGCGAGGTACGTCTGTAGCAGTAGTCAGAGTTCTCGGAAGGCCTTTGAGAAGAGCTAGAGAGTGTTTCTGTGGAGCTTCTCCTCCAGGAGAAGCTGGCGATAACTGGTGCAGAGGGAGAGTCCCCCTGGAGAAGGGTGGCCTAGAGCATACTTTGGTGGACTCATCCTTATGGGAAGACACTGCTCCTCCTAATTCCCTAGAGGAAGAGGTAAACAGGTGTGACAGCTGCTCAGTCCATGCTGGAGGGGAGGATGGCAGAAGAAGCCAGAGCTGCACTTGCTTGATAGCTTCTCATCTTCATGCTCCAGCAGACCACCGAGGAAGAGGGTGAATGGGGCAACTTCCAAGCAGTGGGGGCGGGGAGGCACCCGTGACAGGACTGTGGGCGGCCAGATTTGGGTGCTGTCAGTACACAGAGGCACTGGCCTGCGTGGCCCATTATTTTCTCCACCAGGGCTCAGGGCCTGGGTGTTGCAGCTGAGAATCCACAGTCTGGATTCATCTAGGAATGGACTTTCGCTGCAGAGCAGGGGAAGGGGTATAGCTCGGTATTAGAATGCAGAGAATTGAGATTATTGGCAGGAGAAGGGTTCAAATGAGGGATCCTCGGTGCAGGAAGAGAAGTGAGAGTGGAAAGTGACTGGAGGAAGGGGAGAAACCGGAGGGGTTAGAGAATCATATTTTGCAGTGAGACTGAATACCCAGTGTAGGAATCATGAATGAATGAGAAGGGAGGAGACAGCCAGAAGTGGGCTGTGAAGGTTAAGAGCACCTGCAGAGAGTGGGAAGGGATGACAGCTTGGGAGGACATGAATGGTCCCAGCTCTGGGATGGTGAGGGAGCCTGGACCTGGGTGCTACTGACTGATGACTGTCTGGAAGTGGGGAGATGACAAGAGTTGAGGGAGGGGTAGGGGGGTTCTGGGTGGATGGACATGGGCACCAGAAGAGTAGAACTACACGGAGGTGAAAGAGTTGGTTGAGATGGCAGCCAGGGATGAGGAGGCTGAGGGACACGCCCTGCCGCTGGCTCCGCTTCTAATAAAGCTCCCACCCAAGAGTGGGTGGAGGAGGCTGTGCCCTGCGGGAGGGCCCATCCTCAGGTTAGGCAAGGAGACGAACAGTGTTTTGTGGAAAGTTTCTGGATGGTGAGGTCTTTGGCTATAGGTGTCTCATAGGGTGCAGTGGAAAGGGGAGGGGAGCATTGGGGATGGGTTCAGGAGATGACTCACAGAGCTGGGAATATGACTAGGGAAGAGAGACACGGGACAGCCTTGTGGCTGTGAAGCAATTACCCTCCAATTAAAAATAAATTTAAAAAATCATCCGGTAGGCTAATCCTTACCTGTTCCCCCTTTTGGAGGGCAGAATAGAATGTGGTGCTTGGAACTCACATGATTCGTGATTAATGGCTCTGCATGATCATGACTTGCAAGACCTTGATTGCTCCTGATACATACATTAACTAGTTAAAAAAAAAAAAAGAGGGGAGGGGACAGGTGACTGGAAGGGCTTAAATGATGGACAGTGGCCTCAGAGTTGAAAGAGAGGTCCTGCCGGGTGGAACTGGGTGGTCTCAGGTTCCTGGGTACTTCTGTGGCAGTACAAGCTGAGGTCCCAGGTGGTGTCTGAGTCTTGGTGAGACATTTTGATGACTGTGGGACACACCAGATTGAGAGAATAGGGAAGAAGGAGGAAAATCAGCACCACATGGAAGGGAGGGAGGTGATAGAGAGCTGAGAAAGCAGAAGTGGGAAAACAGAGGCTCCAGTACCTAGGAAAGGCAGTTCCTGAACATGGGAGAGAAAACTTGAGTTGTAGTATATTCCCAAAAGACCTATTTTCACCTATTAATTTCTCTTGAGATGTGCACATGTAGCTGCAACCTGCCTAAATTACTTTGCATTTCAAGTGTTACTGGAAATTTCCCAACATGCATCTCAAAGGTACATTTAACTGTAGATATCCCATGTTTACCTTGCTCTAGTGCTCAGTTGTGTCCGACTCTTTGCAACCCTTTGGACTATAACCCGCCAGGCTCCTCTGTCCAAGGAGTTTTTCAGGCAAGAATACTGGATTGGGTTGCCGTTTCCTCCTCCAGGGGATCTTCCCCATCCAGGGATTGAAACCACATCTAAGTCTCCCTGCATTGCACACAGATTCTTTACCACTGAACCATCGGGGACGCCCATATTTACCTTACCTTAAGTGAAAAACCTTGATTTTCTACCTTGAAACACTCCTCCTGAGGCTTCTATGTAGAAATTTGGGCTCAAGTGTCAGCAGATGCTGAGTGTGGCCAGGAGTCACCCTGATTGTGGCCCATCTGGTCGCCACACTTCTACGGGTCTCTCTGTTTCAGTTTGACTTAAGTTGTCTATAGAAATATGTACAACCAGGGACTTCCCTGCTGGCCCAGTGGTTAAGACTCTGAGTTCCCAAGGCAGGGGGCTCAGGTTCGATCCCTGGTCAGGGAACTAGATCCCACATGCTGCAACTAAGACCTGGTGCAGCCAAATAAATGAATAAATATTAAAAAAAAAAAAAATTCCTTAAAAAAAAAAAAAAGAAAGAAATATGTACGACCAGAAGTCCTAGTCCTTGTTTATTTCACTTATTTAACTGCTAGATAATTACAGCAAGCCACCCAGAGACCTTAGACCAAGGCAGAGAAAAGGATATCAGAGGATGCATTTGTTCTTCTTTTTTTTTTTTTGTAGCTTTCCAACCTTCCAGCCCATCTCCTCTCCAGCCCCAGGCTCCCGTGAAGTCCAACAATGTCGTGACGGTCACCGGCATATCCCTGTGCCTGTTCATCATCGTGGCCACCGTGCTCATCACCCTGTGGCGGAAGCTGGGCCGCGCCCCAAAGTGCAGCACGCCCGCCCGCCACAACTCGCTGCACGGGCCGGGCTGCCGGAAGAACTCCGACGAGGAGAACATCTGTGAGCTCAGCGAGCCGCGCGGCAGCTTCTCGGATGCGGGTGACGGGCCGGCGGGGAGCCCCGGGGCCCCGGGCATCCCGCTGACCTACCGGCGGAGCGTGCCGGCGCCTCCCGACGACGAGGCCTCGGGGAGCGAGAGCTTCCAGGCCAACGCCCAGAAGATCATCCCGCCCCTGTTCAGCTACCGCCTGGCCCAGCAGCAGCTGAAGGAGATGAAGAAGAAAGGCCTGACGGAGACCACCAAGGTGTACCACGTGTCCCAGAGCCCTCTGACGGACACGGCCATCGATGCCGCCGCCGCCGCCGCCGCCGCTACCGCAGCGTCCCCCGGAGGGTCCGAGAGCCCCGAGGAAGCCACGGCTGGCAAGTTCCGGATCAAATCCCCGTTCCTGGAGCAGCCCCCCGCGGTGGGCGCCGGAGACAGGCCCCCCTCCCGGCTGGACCACCCGCTCTCGGCGGCCAGCTGCGCGGTCAGCCCCAGCCAGACCCTCCTCCGCAAGTCGCAGGTGAGGAGCCACCCCCGGGGGTCCCACTTCCGCAGGACGGCGAGCTTTCACGAGGCCAGGCAGGCCCGGCCGTTCCGGGAGAGGAGCCTGTCCACGCTGACCCCTCGGCCGACTCCGGCCCACGGCCCCAGGGCCCGGACCTGGGACCAGGCCGGAGAACGAGGCCGGCCTCCGAGCCGAGGTGCTACCCTGTTCCCGGAGAAACGGGACCATGGCCCAGGGGCAGCGGGGGCCAGTGGTCCCTTAAGCCCTCTCCCCAAACCTCACTCCCTGGGGCCGCCCCCAAGGAAACCGGACCTGGGGGATCGCCAGGCCGGATTCGTGGGGGCAGGTGAGAGACCGGAGCCTCCCCGGGCTCGGAGGGGGCCGTCCCCCAGTCACAGGAGTGTCTCAAGGAAGCAGCCTTCCCCCCCGGCGCCCAAAGATGGTTACCAGAGGGTCAGCCCGCTGAGTCCTTCTCAGGGCAGAAAAGACAAGTGTCAGAGCTTCCCCGCCCACCCGGAGTTCGCCTTCTACGACAATACATCCTTCGGCCTCACCGAGGCAGAGCAGCGGATGCTGGATCTCCCAGGATACTTTGGGTCAAATGAAGAGGATGAAACCACAAGTACGCTGAGTGTGGAAAAGCTGGTTATCTAGACAGACATCACCCCCGAGACTTCACACAGCGGGGTCCTGGGCCCAGCTCCAGGGATCGGCTGCTTACAATGTTCTGTGGACTCTGGTGTGGACTCTTTAGTACAGTAGGACAGGATGTGGGGGAGGTGGTAACTCACAAGTATGCACGTGTGTTTCAGTTCATAAGAACTTATTTATCTCAACCTTTTTCCCTTCCTTAGCCTGTTTCTGTCAGCTTATCACTACTAACTATGATAATAAAATTTAAACAAGAGCAAAATAGGGCTCGGTCTCATGTGAGTATGAAAAACAACAAGATACAGCATGTGAGTGTGAAATGCTATGAACACTTCGTTGGCAGCTTCCAACTGGAAACACATCTGAGCGTTTCAACTGTAAGAAGTGCTGAAACAAAGTAAGCTCGCTAACACAACTGTGAATTGTAATTTATTAAATTATAGACATTTCAGAATTTGACTCCTGCACAGGCAGTATTGAATAGGTTTCATAGTTGTCAATGATGGCTATTTCTAGGCTACCTAGAAGTGATGATACTATAGATATTCCAGAATAGCTTTCAGGCGAGAATTGGGTAATGTCTGGTAAAGATGGTAAAGAATCTGCCTGCAATGCAGGAGACCCGGCTTCAATCCCTGGATTGGGAAGATCCCCTGTAGAAGGAAATGACTACCCATTCCAGTATTCTTGCCTGGAGAATCCCATGAACAGAGGAGCCTGGCGGGCTACAGTCCATAGGGTTGCAGAGTTGGACACAACTGAGTGGTTTAGCACACATGTTGTCACTCAGTCATGTCTGACTCTTTGTCACCCCATAGACTTTAGTCCGCCAGGCTCCTCTGTCCAGAGAATTTACCAGGCAAAAAGGCTGGAGTGAGTTGCCTTTTCCTATGCCAGGGGATCTTCCCAATCGAGGGATCAAACCCAAGTCTCTTGTGTCTCTTGCACTGGCAGACAAGTTCTTTACCACTAATGCCACCTGGAAAGATAGTCAGTTTTTATAGGGGTGGGTAATTTCATAAGCTAAGGAATGGAAGGAATTTTCCAGCTATTTTGGGAAAGAGGTGGGGATTTCCAGACATTGGGCCACCACCCACTTTTTGATCTTTGTGATCAGCCTTGGAATTGTCATGGTGCCTGTGAGTGTGATTTAGCATGCCGATGTGTTACAGTGAGCATGCACTGAGGCTCGAAGTCTAGTGGAACTGGACTCGTCTGCCGTCTTGGACCTGTTTGGTTCTAATCAGTTTATATCCAGTCCTCGGAGTATGTCATTCTGTTAAATGTTGTGCCTTGCCCTCTTCCCTCCTGTTTAAGAAGAACCTAGAGGTTGGGCTCCATCACGGGAGGTCTGTCATCAGGTGCCATGTGGACACTGCAGTCTGGTGTACTTCCTCTCAGACCTTGAACTTGATGCCTTATCTGCGTACACTTGAGTAACTGCACTTTCTTCTTTGTTCATCTTGACCTTTGTTAGCTGCCGCACCTACCCTGCCTTTTAGACTGTGTTTTCCTTCTTCCTTTTAGAGTTTATCAGGCTGTCAGCCTGCTGGAGAGGTTTCAGGACCATTGGAGACAGTGCAATTAGAAGGGGAAAAGGAAAAATCACAAATGCAATTACTGTACCTTAAAAAGCTTATTTTGTTGCAGTACCATTTCATTTGTTCCATTTTAATGAAAAGCAAAATATATTTCCTTTTGGAAATGCTTTAATGATAGCTATCTACTTTTCAGGAACAGGCTGCTAAGTCACTTCAGTCATGTCTGACTCTGTGGGACCCCATAGACGGCAGCCCACCAGAAATCAATTATTCAATGGTGTCTGACAACTGATGGGAAGAAGAGGAAATCAGACTTCTTAATCTCCCCTTTCTTTGTTTGACCTACTGGAAAGCTCTGCTCTCTTTCTGAGTTCACAGGAGTATGTGCCAACCTTCAACAGAGGATGTGCTTGCTTGTTCTAGACTTCACTATGGATTTCCAAAAAATTGTTTTCATCTGACTGAGATAAAAGCAGCTATATGGGGAAGGTGAAAATTAGAGAAAAACACTGTGAATGGAAAGATTTTCTGTTAGTTTATGTCTTTTCCCTGTATATCATGCATCTGAATTAATGTCACAGTGAATTAGTAACAATATGTAATATGTTCATCAACCACCTAGCCCAGTTTTCTGTGGGTCAGTCTTTACATTTCAGAATTAAGCTAATTTGGCCTCTGCCTTTGAGAAAGAGAGAAGTGGATATTTCAGCACTGTCTGATGGAGAAGTGATTAACTTCCTTAGAAATAATCTCCTATTCCTTACCACAATGGCCGTAGGTCCTTAGCACCAGTGACTGCCGTAGAGTAGGAGCTCTATAAAGATTTGTTGAATAAATGACCAGCTATTCAAAAGCCCTCAAACTATATTTGTGGTTGAATTGGGACAATTCTTTTGACACCCTAAATCTTAAACCATTGTGAATGGGATGGGTTCCTGTGAGATATCGTGGGGTTTTTAATTTCTGGAAGCATCCCAAAATGAAGAAATCCTTAACTTTTCAGGATAATGCTTTGGCAAAGAGATGAAGGCATCTGTAGAGCCTTTTGCAGTGTCTGTGCATAGCAGTTAGTAAGTATTGAGTTTATATGATAGAGTGGCTTCCACATGGACAGGGTGCCCTGTCTTCCTAGCACGTCTTCTTTTCACCCCACTGCCTGGAGTCTGCACCATCTCATTTGGTTAGTTGCTCCCCAGATGTGACTTCTAAAGTGGATTTATTTCATAGAACCGAGAGCACTCAGTGTCCCAAGCCCTTGCCACTGCTGCCCAAATGGTGATCTATGCTTCCTCCCAATTTTCTCTCCTTGAAATCTGTTCCACTTCAACCTGACCCGCAAAATATCAAACTGCTGTTTTACTACTTTGATGATTTTTTTGATTTTATTCTAGATATGTAACTTGTAAAAATTGTACAATTTTTAGTCTGGGCAGTTTATGAGTCATTTTTATACACAGATGACAGTGTATTTTAAACATATCATGTTATGTAAGGGCTTGTTTCTCCAGGTCATACCAGCTGAGTCATGATTTGTACAAAAAGAAGTATTTGGCATAGTCAAAAGCAGACAGGTTTAATTCCGGCCCTTCCCTTTCTTGCTGTGTGTTCTTAGGTAAGTCACTTAATCACACGAGCCTCTTTTTTTTCCCAATGTAAAATGGAAATGTTCATCCCTGGTTCAAGATGGGGACTTGAGCACATGTATTTATTTCCTCATCCTCCTAGGATTCAAATATAAAACGTACAATACCAAAAGCAGTTGAGAGAACAAGAGGTGAAGTGATCTCCATGGATTTCTAGAGGACAAATTACATGGAAGAACACTGACCGGAAGAAGCTCTAGCCCAGGATGTGTTTAGAGGGTCTTACAGAAGATGGGGACCCTACCTCTGTGCTAGCCCCTCACTGAGGTTGGGAACTCAGAAGAGTCACTGGAGTGAAGAGAAGATGGAAGAATAGTGAAGATCTCTATATGAAACGGTCATCCTCCATTCCTACTCTTCAGCGCTGGTGCCAAGAACTCCCAGCAACTGGATGTTCAACCACACGCCAAACCAAAACCGACCAACCAACCAATGACCGGAGGGGACTTTTATAAAGACAGCGAAGCCTGTTTCCAAGGAAACTTGCACAGCAGTCATTGTCGTTGGTAACCTGGCACAAAGCATCTCATTCCAGCATTTGAGAAGTCTCAGCAGGACATTCGAGACTATTCACTGTGAACTGAAGCCTGCCACTCAGCACGTCCTGCACACGCACCCAGTGTCCTAGGCAGCCTTTCTCCTCTCTCCTTCATAAGAAGAGCCTGACAACTGGATTCATGAAACATTTGAGAACAGTATGACAACGAAAGGTAAAAAGAGAAAAACTGACCCCAGAAGAAACGTATAATTCAGGGACTGTGAGAAGAATCAAATATAAACCCTACAAAATGAATTACTTATCACTAAAGAGATGTGAAATGATATGACATCTGTTAAAAAAAAAACAAGATGCTATGAAAAGGCAGGGTCAGAAAATGAGAAGGAACCCTTGGAAAAGGAACTCTAGCTGAATAGCTAGATCAGTAGATGAATAAAACAAGTATAGCAAATGTTAACAGTTGTTGAAGTCTTGTGGTGGATGTATGTGTTACTGTACTATTGTTTTCCAGCTTCTCTGGATACTTGGAAATTTCATTAATAAAATTTTGAAACAGCAAAATTTAAAAAAGGTAATATTTTCACATAAAAATGCACTGTCTTCCTTTTGACTCTTAGCCATATAACGGGACTTCCCAGGTGGCTCAGTGGTAAACATTATGCCTGACGATGCAGGAGACACAGGTTCGATCCCCTAGGTCAGGAAAATCCCCAGGATTTTGCTGTATGATAGCAGTGATGCCAAGAGAAGAAGGTTGTTGGGGAGGAAAGGGGAACTGGGGAACGCTTGATTCTACCCAAGTCCTCCATGGAGCCCTCATGATGCCTCCCCAGAAGCATAAGAACAGCATGTTTTGGAACAAACCTTCTAAACACTAGATTTTGGCTCCTAAAGCTCACCCACCAAAAGTTGTATGACCTGGGTGAAGTATTTAATTTATCCATGGACCTAGTGTTAAGCAGATCTGAAGAGTGAAGAGGAAAGGATGGCTTCTAGATTTCTGGCCAGCATGACATCTCAGGAAGAGGAGGTGTAAGAATCCAAAGTGGGCTGGGAATTATTTCAGGACAGAGGATTCAAAGAGGAAAGAATGACCTTTTCTGTAAAAGTGGTGTGGGGACTCCGAGTCATCTAATTTTAACAAAACAGGATTTCTGCTTGTATCCCAAGCTGATGAAGAGGAATGAAGCAATTATGTTTCTTTTTCAAATGTTTGATAGTGAGCTTATATTGCTTTATTTGTAAAGAGAGATTCTTTTAAAGCAGTCCTATGGGGTAAAGTTCAGAAACAGCAAAAACTGCTATGAAGTATTGTATTTTATGAGCTATATTTTTAATTGGGTATTTATATGATGGTGTGGAGGGAGGAAATGGCAACCCATTCCAGTATTCTGGCTGGGAAGATCCCATGGATGGAGGAGCCTGGAGGGCTACAGTACATAGGCTCGCAAAGAGTTGGACATGACTTAGCAACTAAACAAAATGTTTGTGCGCTAAAGTTAAGTTTTCAAGTGCATGCATTTGAACTGATAAATTTATATCAGTCGATGTGTAATAATAAGACACAGCTAGATGTGCGTTGGCAACAGTTGAGGGAGACAAGTGACAGGAGTTGTAAGCACAGGATGGGAGCTCACCCCAGCAGCGGAGGTGGCATGCGGGGTAGAGGTGGGCAGTGAGAGACCATTCTCAAAGCTGGAGCGCTGCAGAAACAGTAGGCATGACAGGGCAGCTGGGCATTGGAGCCATTTGGGATCCCCAGGAAAGGAACAAATCTAGGATGTGGGGGGTTGGACGTCCAATAATAACAGTAGGAGAAAATCCCACTCGTAACAGTTACAAGATGGCTCACTGATCAAATTTCCAGGTTTTCATAATAGATTATCCCTGACCATCACCATAACCCTGTAAGATATGATTGTTTGGTTTGGTTTGGTTTGGGGTCAGAGTTTTTAAAAAGACAAATAGTACAGGAAGATTTACAACAGGAAGCAATGGTTCCTTTTAATTCCATAGCCTCAGTTCAACTTTGCAAGGGCAACCACTGCTGAAGCTCTCCAACTGTGTTAATATGATGGAGCTGCTATTTTATGACATTGCTTACTGACTCTTGTTGCTAAAGATTCATCTTAACTTCATATCACCCCTGTACACATGATTGTTACATGACTGTTTTTAGCTCTGTTGTTCACTT